TGCATTTTTGGACCTTGATAAACATTAAATCTGCCTTTAATATAAATATTCATTCGATTTGGAATATCGAAAAAAGCAGTGGATGAAATTCTGATTGAAGTTATATTGTTTTGGAATGTAATACTTGTTAGAGACTCACAATTTCCAAATGCTTTATCTCCAATATAACTTACATACCCTAGAATTGTTATACTTATTAATGATGTGCATTCATAAAAATACTTCATTATTAATTTTGGCTATCTTCAAAGGAATTGTAATACTGCTTAAAGACTTGCATGATTTAAATACGCCAACTCCAATTGTGTTTACACTATCTGGAATTGTAATACTTGTTAACGATTGGCATGAGTAAAATGCATAATTTTGAATAGTTGTTATTCTATCTGAAAATGTAATATTTGTTAATGATATGCAATATTGAAATGTATAAGACTTAATTTCATTTATTATTCCGAGAAATGTAATATTTATCAAATTTGAACAAGAAGAAAATGCATAATCTAAAACATCATTTACATTTTGCGGAATTATTATACTTATTAATGATTTACAAAATTTAAATGCATATGCACCAATAATTTTTGTACTATCTGGAATTTTAATACTTCTTAAAGATGAACAATTTTGAAATGTACCGGATTGAATTATTTCTATGTTTCCTGGCATTTTAATACTTGTCAAAGAATCACAATATGAAAATGCATCCTTTCCAATTTCTTTGACTTTATCATCAATTTGAATTGACAAAATTTTTGTACAATAAGAAAAGCATTCTTCTGAAATAGTTGTAACATAACTCGCAACAGTATATGCGCCGGAATATGCTTCAACAACTTTAATTAATGTTGAATTATCTGTTCTTGTATAAAGAGATTTAGTATCACTTGTAAAATTTGCATTTTCTTGATCAACTGTTATATTTTCTAAATTTTGACAGCATAAAAATACCGAAGAACCGATATCTGTTACATTTTTGGAATGAAAATTGAAGTAAGATTTGTGCTTTTAAAGCATTCTTGATTTAATTTTTGTAAGCTAGAATTCGATGAAATATTTATTATTGTTAAGCCACTAAAGTAAAACGCCAAGCCAGAAATAAGATATACAGAATCCGGTAAATCTAATGATGTTAGATTTGGATCGTAAGAAAAGCAAGATATTCCAATTCTTTCAAGATTTGGTGGAAGTATAACTGTTTTCAAGTTTTTGCAGTTTTCAAAGACATGCGCATTGATAATCTTAAGCACTTTGCATTCACCGAGATCTGCTTTTTCAAGAGCTGTATTCTTAAAACTATATTCTCCAATTTTTGCAATTTGACTTTTTTGTCGAATCTAAGTGATGTTATTGAATCTTTACATTTCTTAAATGCATAATTATCTGGTTTTCCAATTTTTATTTCTGTAACTTGTTGAGGATGAATACTTCTCCCCTAGAATCTGTTGAACATCCAGTGACAACTTGATTGTTATGTTCATATTCTAGATGTACACCACTAATGCCCGAACAAAAATGATAATAAAAAAACACGAGGAGATTTCTGTAAAAAAATAAACAGTATCGCACTTTTGTGGACAAAATGAAAACCGATGAATTTTCCCATTTTAATTTGATAATCATAATATATAAGTATTTGTAATGCATGTTTTATCTTCTAATTAGTAAAATTACATTGCCCGCCAAAATCAATTTTTTATTGAAAAAAAGTGGATAATAGGCATTGACTCCAGCTGCAGCATTGTTTGGATTCATTTCTATCACTAAGGATGAATATCCTAAGTGGCTTCCAGATCTTTTTGAAGAAGCAGAAATTAAATACCACGACAGACATCAGTTCTCAGCATGTTGGAAGAATCAGTCAAGAACTTCTGGAAGAGACACTTTACCATGATTTGCCTGAATTAGAACAATACAGATTCGCATTCTCTAATTCTTATTTCAGTTAAATATTTTTTATTTTTTATATTTCTATTTTATAATAAAAAAAATCATATTATTTATTTAATT